GCTGAGACCCCTCTCCACCAGGACATCTTTGCAAAGCCAGGGCATGACTGACGACCAGGGAAGAATAAAGTTGGAGAGATGGGGTGCTGGGAGGGCATGCCAGGAGCAGGCAGCAGAGTGGTCCTGTGCCACCTAGCTTTAATTGGGGAGATCCCAAAATGGCCAGGAGGAACCTCAGAGAGATCTGTGCAGGCCGGAGAGATGGCACAAGGACAAACAGTTCAGCATCCAAACACCAAACACAAAACACATGTTACAGGAAAAGAGGACAACCTTCAGACTGCAGATCTGTGCCTTGTCTGCACCAGCGCGGCTGAGGGACGCAGAAGACCCCGCAGGCAGTCCGAGGGAGCGCTCTGCTCAATATGCAACTGCAAGTGAAGGCAATGAGGTGCCACAGTTTACAAGGAACGAGATGGAGACTAACACAGAAACAGCTGCAGTCATATCACCTGCAGCAACAGCACAGGCTGAGCTCAGCATGGGCTGCACCCCAGGAAGAGCTGGAGATGGCACATAGACTGGCACTGGGAAGATACCGACCTCCAAAAACTCATCTGAACTCATACAGAGAAGGAGAGAAGATGTAAGCACATGCACAGTGCTTTGGGCACAGGGATAAGTGAAGTGTTCTCATCTCACAGCACAAGAAAAGGGACAGTCATTAAAACTACAAGGGTAGAATACAGATGAATTCAAAACTGCAAAAGAAAACATTTTTTTCAGTGATGTCACTGAGGAGGAAAAAACTGCAAAGTCAAAGGATAGCTTGGCTATCTCTCTGGGTAACAAGTTGTCATATTTATGACAAAGAAAATCAAGAGAAGTTAAACTCATCTTTCAGAACAAGCTAATTTCTAGCTATGAAAGCTTTGGAAGAAGTATTATACGTTATATCCTGGTGATCTGCTGAGGGGTTTCTTACTATCTCATCTGAAGTACCTAGTATGGGCCACCGTTCAAAGGCAGACCACTAAAACACTAAAACAGATGGTCTAAAGGGGACACCAGTAAGGCCACTTCATCATCCCTCCTTCTATCTTTGAAGATCTCCAGAAGGTGCTACTACAGTCTCTGCTTACTCTGCCTACCTGAAGGTGCACATTGAGCTTATTCAAACCAAAAATCCTGGGGCCATCTGTAAGGCAAGTTTTTGAGGAGCTAATCTGACCACTGATGAAGCATGCTCCCTTGGTCCACCCTCCTAATTATCAGGAACAAGGCAAAACTTAATGGAAAAAAACTCTTCAAACACACCTCATTGAACTCTTCAGTGATTGAATCCCTCAATGAGACCTGAACAGCTCAAAAGAAATATGCTGTCAAGACAGACGTCTAAAAAGCAAATGCAGAGTCCAGGCCATAAGGAACAGGACAGAAAAGAATGAAAACACCCAATCCGCTCTGTAGATCTTAAGCTGTAATATTCAGCTGTTTTCCAAGAAAGAAAGAGCAAAAGGGTTCCAAGAGAGAAAGCAGAAAAAAGGAGAAAGGTCTGGAAATAATCTGTAAGGAGAGACTGAGCTGCTTTTTAGTAGGAGACATGATAGAGAAAAGGGTAATACATGGCTTTTATTTCCTTTCACATTTAACTCAAGAACAGGGTATCATTCCATGAAAGCAAAGAGCAGCACATTTGAAACTGAAGGCAGGGAACGCTTTATTCCAGCGGGAAGAGCTGGCGGGGGGGCCTGGCTCTGCAGTCCTGCAGGGCCATGGCATCACAACTGTTAAAGAAAGGATTGGGTATTTGTAAGGAACATAACATCCACAGCTACAGACTGCCTGCAAAAACGCGTTGCAAGCACTACTACTTCAGGGAGTAAAATGGCAACGGGGCTTTGGACGGCAGCTCCTGTAGTGGCAGAATCCCCAAAAACTAGCAAAACGGTAAAGGTAATATAACAAAAAAAATGCTAATGCTCAGCTCCACCCCTGTGCCACTAATGTGTCTTGTGGGGCCTCCAAAGGAAACTGCAAACTATCAGCAGTGTTGTGAAACAATGTGCTTTGTTTCAGGTCAAGCTCAGGTTTGTCTGGAGCTAGGCAGAGGCTCGCAGGGGCATTCGTGCTCCGGGCGGGAGGAAACCCACGGCCGGGAGAACTGCTGGATGCAACGAACTCTGCTGGCTCCAGCTTCCCAAGATGTTACACTGAGTTTAAAACTACAGCTTGACTGCCTAAACGAAGTTAAAAGGGAGGGAAAATCCAGCACTTAATCTTCTTTACCCTCCAAAGCAGCATATTCTGAAATATGCTGAAAATACGTCACACTAATGACACTGCTGAACAGCTAAAAGCAAGACAGTTGTACTGGCAGTAAAGTGAGAGCGGCCTTGGGTCTTCCTTTGAAATTTCAGAGGGACTGCGAGGTGCTCACGAGGTTTCCGTCAATCCCCCGCTCATCACCCTGTGAAAGCAGGACGCGATGCGTGGGCACCCCGAGCCGGCGGGGCTCTCCGAGCCGGCGGGGCTTGGGGGCAGAGCTGCCGGACGGGCCCGCTGCTTCGGGCCAAGAGAGGGGCGAGGATGGGAGGCGCCTTCTCCGATCCCAACCCTACCGTCTCTCCTGACTTCTCTAGAAGGGAGAGCCCGTGGCCTGGGAGCACTGGTGCTCCCTTTCGGTGCATTAATTGATGGCTGGCCACTAGAGGCCACCTGCCCCTTACTCTGTGCAACCTGGTACAACCTCTTGGAGAAAGGCTGGATGGACACCTACTCGGATCTGGCCTGGCTTTTCTGTTACCCACAACAGACAGAGTTCAGAGAAGAGCGACAAAAAATTGCCAGTAGGCCAGAGGGACTGATTTATAAGGAAAGGTTAGGAGCTAAATTTGTCTAGCGCAATATGGGATGACTAAGATGGGGAGGGGACAAGCCAGCAGTCTGGAAAGATCTCAAGGGTGTAAAACACGACTAAAGATTTTTTTTTTTCAGGCAGCCCTGCACAAAGAGACTTAGAAATGGGTTAAAATTTAAAAGAGAAACTTAAAATGAGTATCAGGGAGAATTCTGCTACTGAGCATCATGCTGAAGCGCCCAGCCTGCTGGCATCGCTGCCTGGGCTGCCGTAAGAAGAACACAAGACAAAAGGGGAAAGGAAAAAAAAAAAAAAACCAGTAAAGAAAACTGAATGAATGATACCTTCATCCTATTGTATCTCCTGGTTGTCGGGAGTACGTGATTCAGCATTCCCGCTAGAAGTAATTTTCAGTAATAGAAGCGTCATGCCAGCAGGCCAGATTCAAAGGGAGGCCAGAAAAATCCACAGCCTGCTGACCTGTGCGCACTCACACCTCCCTGCTCTCTCTGCAAGTGCATCAGTAAACAGAGCTGGCTCACCTAAATCACCATACTTCATACCAACCATCTAGGCTAAATGAATGCTGAAGGGAAGCGAGCAGGCATGCCCCTGCGATGCTGGCAGCTACGGCATCTCCCACATGTTGCTAAAAGGGACTCCAGTGGGGCTTCCCCTGACACCCAAAGGCTGCTTCACAGTGCCAGTGCAGGAGCTTTCCTGTTTTGCTGAGAAAAATGCATCTGGCACGTCTTCAAGGGGCAGAGGAGAACAGTTCACGCTGCCCCTTTGCAATAAAGATGAGCAGGAAAGGCTACGGCAGGCTGCCCCAGCTCCGTGGGCAAGGGGCTGCAGGGAGACAGACTTCAGGCCCCGCGTCCATCTCCTCAGCTCTTCTTTAATCCCCTGGCCATCGGGCTGAGAATAATTTAGCCGTGGAGTGTCTAGACAAGGAGTGGATGTTAAGATAGGGATAAAGCCACAGGGGCAAAGCTGGTTTGGGGATAGATGAGGAGAAGAGACTCTGGCTGATAGACACAGATGGGAAGAGCTCGAAGAGGAGAAGGATTAGAGGCCTGGGAAGGTTTTCCTGGGAAAACGTACTGATGAGCCTGTCCATGGAGGAGAGGAGCAGGAGGGGTGCTGCTGCATGCACCGAAGCATTTGGATGCTGCTGCGACAGTCACAGCCTCAAAGCCGAATGAAGCGGAACTGGGCTGCATTGCCCCTACTTCTCCCCTGCCACGGCGGAGGAACGGGGACACACATACCAGCATGAAAAGGCAACACATCAGACAGTAAACACACAAAGTTTTCAGGCGTGAAGGGTTTAACCTGTGGATCTCTCTGCCACATGGCTACACTGAAACTAAGAATACAGAAATATTTTATAAGGCTTAAATATTTCAATGAATCCCA